TTGGCTTCCGACGAGAGAGAGGCCTAGTGCCATCACATGGAGTTGAAAGCTAGGCACCTGAGCAGTATTCGAGCTCGACTGTAAGAGTTTTCACTAGCAGTGAAGTCCAGGGTCGAGGGTCAGATAGATCAGCCGGATCTGTCTCGGATCCCGCACCAACCAAGGCGGCAGGCCCAAGTAGACTCCGCCAAAGTTTGGTGGTGCCTGGAATTGAGGCACGACTTCTCAGGCACGAATTCTCAGCACAAATGTCACGAAATCTCAGGCGTGTGCATCATTTAAGCTGCCAGCAGGCCTGAGATTCGCCAAACGTCGTTTTTGCGCGGTCCGAAGTTGAAGTGTTTGCTGTCGCGAAGGAATGGAAGCAACATCGCCAAGCATGCTGGACCGTTGCTTTTCAAGAAAAAGAGAGAACTTCTGGCTGTCCACTACAGAGAAACAATGAGAAACAAAAGGGAGAAGAATCTGGTAGGTCATCTTCAGGGTCGAAAGGTGTCGAAAGTCCTTTGTTCTTGAGCGCATAGCAATGCTATGTCTGCCGTGTGTGTCAAGTCTGAGGCTTGGACAGTAAGGCGCTAATGAGAAGATGTTGGAAAGCAATGACTTGTCCAAGCCTAAGCAAAACGCCACGGGTATCTTGTTGGAGTGAATTTGCATTTGGACGTTTAGCCATACAAAACACATCCATCGTAACATATTTGTACATTTTGACAATGTCTTCACGATAAAGCAGCAAATGTAGACATTTCATCAAATCATCTGCGCTAGGCTCGTCCAGAATGGACCAACCGAAGGATACGGAAGAACCCAACATTTGACGTCGAGCCCCGGGAGCCCCGGCGCCGTGAAGGCTCGATACCTCGAGAGGTATGGAACCATGTGACGACTCGTGTGAATTCATCGAGCATTGTGTAGAATCATTAGCTTCTTGTTACTAGTAAGGCCAGGAGCCCCTAGTAGCTTCTAGCTACTAGTAGCAATGGCCTCCAACCTAATAACGATGGTCTCCAACCTAGTAGCTTCATGTTACTAGTAATGTCGTGGATGGAGCAGTTAATGTCTTTAACTTACTTAATGCATGTTGTGTGCACCACCGTAATGGACCAGGGTACTCTAAGTCGACGGAGAAGGCAGTGGCAAAGAGCACGCACAGGATCCACAAGGCCTTGATGGATGGACATCTGCAATATGTCATCCCAAACTGGCACAACAGTGCATCCAAAAAGACATCTGTGAACGTTGCACGTAACTTTGGAGCAAACTGCTATGATGTATATTATATTATTGTATGATCTTCTTGATTGTTTATTATTCATGATTCTTATCATTGAACATGTGTTTTAAAAAAGTTAATTACGTTGTTTGTCTTTTAAGAAACATGCTCAATGTCTGCAAGCGGAACTTCTGGGATCCCGGCTGCAGTACTATTCCCAGGATCCTCACGCCTTGGAGTCACGGAGTAGCAAGGACGCTACGAACAAAGCTCCTGGCATTACTAGTAACAAGAAGCTACTGTAACCCTACCAATAGCGATGGCCTCCACCCTAATAGCATCCTTGCTAACCAAGGACGTTCTAAACCTTTAAGTCTGCACAACACAGTTCGGATCTTAGCTCAACCTTCTCCACCTGAGGTCAACACATTCGCCATGCATCCTCTCCTTTGACGCCACAGGTCGTTGCTCATTTGGTTTCTGTTCATGTGCGGACACCTCTCCATTTCTCTCATCCTGTCTTGAAACGATTTACCGATGGAATTTGTTCAATAGAGTGCAGCTCTGGCAAGTCCTGCCATTACTTCTTGCCGGCCAGGTGAACTAAACATCGACCTGGCATAAAGCACAAAGACAAGCGAAGGACAGATTGAACATGATTGAACGATAAGACAAGTCAAAGACGTGCCAGTTGCACAGCAGGAATGATAATAGCCAAATCCAGGCAGCTGCCACAGCTTGTAAATGCCGATGGTAAAGCCTCGGTTCTTTCCAAGCTCGACATGTGCATACGATCAGCTTCCTTCCATTCTGCCCTGATGGTTTGCTTTCTTTGGACGTTAGAAATGCTAACATCGAGGTGTGCGTTTCACCTGAGCTTTCAGCTTGCGCTTCCATGGGGAAAAAAGGATGACCTAGCCATTTGAGTCAAAGATGTCTGGCTCTGCGCAAAGCGTCACATGCTCTGAATCGTATCAAGAAAAAGAAAGCAACCAGGTATGCAGTTTCGAGAAGAATCCTAGACCGAGGTGGCACAATGCCCACCTGATACAGCACGAAGATGATCACCGAGAGCAAGCTCGCCACGATGGGCTGGGCGGGATTGCAGTGGATCACATGCTTGCCAACCCTAAGACCTCCATAGACCTCCCTTGGCCTTGTCCGGACTGCCAAACTAAATTAGACCTTTATTCGCCTCCAACCTAAGAGCGATGGCCTCCAAATTGTTTGAACACAATGCATCTGCCCAGCTGCCATGTAAGTCTCCATAGATGCAAAAAGAGCCGTCATCCGTATGTCATCGCCCCAAAGTTGGTCAAATTGCCCCAGTCTCTGGAATCTGGAACTCAAGGAATGCTACCCTATCCAAGTCTCAGGTATTGATCGCTTCAGCAATACAAGCTGAATAGATGGAGTTGTGTCGAGGTTTGTCAACATGTTAGAAGAACACTTGCTTGGGTCAGCATAGTCAGTATCCTGGATGATCTGGAGTCCCCACCCATGCTGAAGAAGCTCCTCCCGCCTAGGCACCAAAAAGAATAGACGATGATCGACACTTACAGCGTTAGAAATATCATCTGGGATCTGGTCATTCGATATTTGCTAGTAGTAACAGGTGCCTTACTAGTAGTAACAATGTTTGCTAGTAATTCATATATTTTATCTTATTCCCTTTCAGCCATCTATGGCATCCTGAAAACCGACAGTTTTGCTTGGCTGCTTCAAGTTTGTTGCAAGCAGCTGTTAAAGCCGGAGTCTGCCAATCAGATAAAAGCCTTTCAGTGCCAAACTGGATTTGCAGCGAAAATGGCCAGGAGCACAAGCAGGCCCCAAGCACCTGCAACCTCAGTTCAAACATCTCCAAGTAGACTGGTCTGGCAAATCGGCTCCATGCAAAAGTGAATGCTGCGCTTTTGAGATGATGGATATAGAGGGCTGGATAAGGCTGGATCATGGCATCGACACTTTGAGATCCAAACTATCAGCTTTCTTTTTTTGGCATCCACAGATGCATCAAGCGCTTGGAAGCTTCCCCGGCGCTCCACGCGTCCCTGAGCAAAGCAAAGTCGCTAGAAGTCACCCAGCTGCTTTGCAAAAACAGCCACCCTACAGAGCAAAGCCTGCCTCCTCCCTTGGCAATTCAATCTGGTGAGCAATAGTGTCCTGATTGGTGACAATGAACTTCAAGAAGTGCACTTCCGTGGCAACTCGAGCTCGAGATTGCTGAGCTGCAGGCGTTGAGATTCTCCAACGGAATCTTTGGCATGCCATGTTGCACCTAGCAACTTCAATATTTCTGAAATCGTCATTGTACCGAAGAGAAAGCTCCTAGTAGCGTCCTTGCTCCTAGTAGTAAGGCCAGGAGCCCCGTTCGTAGCGTCCTTGTTCCTAGCGATGCCCTTTGCTCCCTTCGTAGCTAACTAGGCTCTACTTGTTGTCAGAGACGTTCACGGCGTGGAGATGTGAATCGCACCTGGGATCTCTCCGAGTTTTCACCAGGTACCTGGGAGCGAGCCCATTTTCTGGTGCGGAAGGCGATCGGCGAAAGAGTTCGGTGGGAGGGTAGGCCGCTTGTAGAGATGAGGTAGTAGAAGCAAACGGTATCTGCTTAAGTAGCTACGAAAAAGGGACGGATAGCTCCCGCTTCGAAGAGTGATTTGGTTCGATTTTGAGGGAAACTTAACTTATTTGTTTCCGCTGTCACATATGCAACAATCAACTGTACGCTACTGAGCGGCCCAGGGCCAATGCAAGAATTGTTGTGAAAGCTTCACTTAGAAGGGTGTCATTGCAGCACCCTGAAAGCAATATTCCATGGCATAAACCCGCTAGTGGTAAAATGCTTCAGCAGGCTTGTAGAAGGCTGCAGCTTTGGCATCCAGTTTCTTCAATCATTCATCTCGCATAGGCATAGGCATAGGCCACTGTGAGACCAAATATAAAAAATATTTGATGAGTTGCTGTGGAACAAGTTGTGAAAGGAACGTGACAACTTCAAGTGACACGATCGGCCGGTCGCAGCATTGCTCTTGGTGCCCCTGCAGGCGACATGACAATGCCCAGTTTGCAGACTTTTTTCCTGGCGGGATTAGAGATTAAGTTTAAGGAAGAGTATGTGATGGCGCGTGTGGCATGCGCCTGCTACACACTTGTCACTTGACCCATGCAAAATTGAGAAAGTGCTGTGGAAACTCTGGACTACTTTCAATAGCACTTTTACATCTGAGCGTTTCATGTCCTGAGCAAGAATCTTTAGGTTCTCTTGCAACCAAGCGTTTGGGCGGCTTATGTCATTAAAGACGAAGATGAAGGAACAGACTGTTCCGTGCCTGGAATCGCCAACGGCCAGCCCCATCTAAGATGGGCGACCCATCGGCATCGGTGCGGTGGAGGAGTGTTTTGAACTCACACCACACCGTGTCTTCGTGTGTTGCTTGTCTTGCTGGGTGCTTGCTTGTCTGTGGGCTGGGATAAGTGTGGCTGGTCTGGTTTCATGGAGGTTCAGCGCTGCAACATCTTCGCCCGAAACCAACGGCCCGTGCCTTGTCGAGCCAATGAAACTACGGAGGCAAACCATGGAAGACGTGCTTTGAAGCCAATCACTTTCAATTCTCACCCCTTTATTCATTCACTGGAGTCATCTAGATTTGAAAACTAGAGATGCTTTAGCAGCATTGCCCATCGGCCTATCCTGCTTCTCCTATCTCCGTCTGCATAAACAAAAAAAAGATCCTAAGCACGGAAGGAATCAGTCTAGCAAATGCAACCGGGTGCACGCCCAGCCAGCCTGTCTTTTGAGCTTGTTTACCAAGCGGTCGTCCTTCGCAGTTAGGGGAGTGCCGCCGCATCAGCACAGCCGTGGCGATGGCAGTTTGCACACGTCGCCTCAAGCGCCTCTTCTACATCTTCGACATCCGCCTTTCGCCAAGCCCTGCAGCATCGCACATTCAACGAAGGCCACGCACCCAAGTCTTCCTTTCGAATGAAACATCTGCAGTTCCACATGGTTCCACTTGGCTTCGCCTCTTGGAAGGCTTCTTGCCTGGTTTGGCCTTTCCCACCTGAGTCCGTTCGTATGCAGCGAGCAGAAATGCTGGTGCTACACGCTGTGGATGGCCGCGGCCGCCAGGCCTGCTTCTTGCCCTTTTTGCCCATTCAAACCTCACATCGCGGAGCACGAAAGCGTGGGGAGCTGCACGCATCGCTTTGAGGTCTGCGCCGAGCGGATGAGGCAAGTAAAGCTGAGTCCGGAAACGCGCTGAGTCCGGAAACGGCAGCGGGTTGAAAACATGCTGATCAACGCATATTAACACTGCACTCACCCCGAGATCGAATAATCTTTCGAGCAAAGCCAACAAATAGTAACGTCCTTGCTCCTAGTAGCGATGCCCTTTGCTCCTAGTGGCTTCTTGCTCCTACTAGTAAGGCCAGGAGCCCATAGTAGCGTCCTTGCTCCTAGTAGCGATGCCAGGAGCCCCTAGTAGAAAAACTGGCCGACTCGAAGCGGTGATCCTTTTTGCTTCTGCATCTTTGTCAGAGGAAATCCCGTTTACATCTCGCCTGCAACCGCTGGAAGAATTCAAATGTCTCCTCATCCAATTCCTGTTGAGTTGCACCCCAAAGTGTATATACAATATGTTTGCGGAAACACATTATTTATTCACATTATTTCATCTGTGGCTCCCCAGCCTTGAGTCTCACAGTTGTCACATCCGAAGGAAGCAAAAGGAGCGCTGCTGGGATCTGCGAAGAAGCACGATCCAATTTTTTAAGCAGTCTCAGCATCGATTCCGAAAGGTTGTGGCTTGGCAGCCTTTGTTGCGTTTGTCAGTGTTGAGTTCATAGTGCTAAGAGTGTTCATACTGAGTTAGTATTGTTCTGATTCTGTGGAGACATTCTGGCATGTAGCAAGAGCTGAGTTGATTGAAACTTTGTGACCACGCTTGGGTGTTCCGGAACAATTCTGCAGGTTCAATCCCAATGCACTCAGTCCCCAAACGCCTGCTGCATCTGCATCCACCGCAAGAAAGGATTGCCACGGATCTGGTCCTGAAAAACAAAGGAACTGCTCTCGCAAAACCAAACCACTAAGATCCATAGCTACTACGGGCTCCTGGCCCTACTACTAGGAGCAAGAAGCTACTAGAGGGTTGTGGCCTTACCTCCTGGCATCGCTACTAGGAAGAAGAAGCTACTAGAGGCTCCTGACCCTATTACTGAGAGCAAGAAGCTACTAGGGGCTCCTGGCCTTACTAGCTAGGAGCAAGAAGCTACTAGGGGCTCCTGGCATCGCTACTACGAACAAGAAGCTACTACGGGCTCCTGGCATCGCTACTAGGAACAAGAAGCTACTAACTACTAGGAGCAAGAAGCTACTAGGGGCTGGCATCGCTACTAGAAGCAAGAAGCTACTAGGGGGTCCTGGCATCGCTACTAGGAACAAGAAGCTACTAGGGGCTCCTGGCCTTACTACTAGGAGCAAGAAGCTACTAGGGGCTCCTGGCAAAATCCAGCAAACCACCTGCTCCCGACAGCTAAAGCAGTGGAACTTTTTGCGTTCAATCTTGGCAGATTCCCATGGTGTCAAGGTATGCAACCTCGCCAGAGTACTTCATGTTGGCCCCAATGACAGTAGCCGTCGGTTGCACAGTTTGGTCTCCACTTGGGTTTCACAGACTGCATTCATTGGATCTTTTATTGGGACCAACGCCTAAGTGACTGAATATCAAGACGGTACCCGAGAACGCGCAAGCACCGTATGTCTGAAAGTAACGTTCATGAAAAACGTCGGGTTCCAGCCTGAACCATTTTTGCAGCAGCTTCAGCGCGCCTCGCAGCCTCACAGCAGGCAGGAGGCTGTGCTGCACAGCCGCCATTGTCCTGGAGAATGAGACGTTTTACGGTCCGGACCCTAGTTCGTCCCTTCCCTTCACTGCGGTGGGGCACTGGCCCGGAATCTGTAGCTCGACCATACCGGCCCTCGAAATTCAGCGTGTTCGTTCAGCGTGTTCATGCGTGTGAGCGGTACAACTTGACTAAACTACAAACCCGGATTGCTTTCTGCTCTGGCAAGGAAGAGCCTCAGCACTACTTGACTAGCATGAAAAAAAACAAAGCCAAGGCTTCCGGCAACAAAATGTTCGAGGTCCAAATTGTGTCTAGCAATGATTGTCGTGCGGTTTTCATTTCTACAGGTGCTCGACTCTACAACGCTTTTTGCCTCCCATTGAGTATTTCAGCCAGGCTTTTGAAACAAATTGTTCGTCTAGGTGCCTAGCCCGCTAGGATCCAACGTCTTATCAAACTACTTGTTTGTTCATTGAGGGCCTTGCCTGGTGATCTTCTTTGTTCTGGTTGGTGCTTCAAAAGGTTTTGACATCAAAAGTTGCTCTATGATGTTCTATGAAGACTGCCATAGGTTGGCTTGCAAAAAAGGTCTCTGTATTTCAAGACTATGTTCATGCAAATATGGAAGATGTAGAGCAGCCAATGTTTGCGCACGCCTTAGTTTACACTGCCATGGGTGTGACTCTGTAAAGTGTCAAACTTGTTTGAGAAATGTTGGCCTATGACGTCGAACGCTGCAACAAAATGCCAGCTGACAATGAATCCGATCTGACCTACTCTTCGCTCTCTCGTCCATCCATGCGCGATTCGCTCAAAATCTGCGAAGCCCATCGCAGTTGCACAGTTGGACATGGAATTTGTGAGTGGTTGAGTCAAAGTCAATACCTCAGATATGTCATTAAACGTTGCATTGCGTTGGTCTTACACCAGACAAGTAGTCCAGTCTTGAAATCTTCCAGGTCAAATGCAAGACACCATGCAAGAATAAGAGGCCGTGGCAATGATGCACAGAAACCATCCTCGCATGACTCTGACACTTTACAGCGTCATATCTGTGATGAGACATATTCCAAACCAATATACCCAAAATAAGGCCCACATCACTGTTTCTCTTTGCTTCAGTTTATATAATCTTTAGCTGTCAGTGGAGGTATAATATCCAGACATGTCTAAGACAAGGTGCGTACAAAAACAAACTACGTTTCACAGCGTCCAAATATTATGTATGTAAACATTCAAAATGCCTGGACTAATTTACCAAAAGGTTAAGGCAGTCTTCATAGCACTATACATACCAACATTTTGATGTCAACACCTTATGAAACACCAAACCAAAGAAAGAAGAAATTGCGAGGCCCACACCAAACCAAAGAAAGAAGAAATTGCGAGGCCCAGGCAGAACCTTATTGCTCCCCCAACACAGCCTCTTGGGAGGATGTGTACTTTTGGAAGTGTTGTTTGTCTTAATTGCTCCAGAGGCCCAGAGGCATACTTTGATTGACTTCGCTGAAACATGGGCGCATTGGCAACTGGACAGAAGCATGCAACGCTGTTTCTCTGTTTGGAGCCTGCATCCTGAGCTGATTACAAGCAGCAGTTTAAAAAAAAAAAAAGAAAAAAACAATATAGGTGGACATTGTCTTACTTCTCAAGCTGGGAATAAAGCATGCAAAATCGTACTCTACATACCTGCATGCATCAGCTCGGTATCCTACACATCGAAACCCGAGCTTCTCTTAGTGTCTGGGCAGGAAGGTTGGTTCAGAAAGACTGCCCATGGTGGTGTTGTTGGCAATTGAGGTTAGGTGTACAGGACTTAGTCCCTAAGTCACTGTTGAATCATTCAATGTATTTATTGGCGACTCCATCAAGAAGATTGCCTGAGACCCTTTTGGGGATGCCTGAAAGTTGCAACAAGACACACTGATATAGGAAAGTAGAAACACAGACTTCCTAATAGCGAACATTGTTTCTAGCAAACATTGTTACTACTAGTAAGGCACCTGTTACTAGTAGCGTGGCACTTGTTCCTAGTAGCTTATTGTTTCTATTTATATGTTGTTTCTACTAGCTTCTTGCTCCTAGTAGTTCTGATTTTCACTTTCGCGTCCGAGTGCTCAACCTCTCACGCTCTCCTTGCCCAAGCCCTCTCGGCGGCGGATCTCCATCTCAGCTCCCACGGCAGGGCAGCTGGCACGTGGCAGTTGGGCCTCAGAGAAGGCTTAGGTCCACTTTGTCAAGAACATCGTTGAAAGACATTCCGTTTCCTCTTCAGATCAATTCCTCACCTGCAAAATGAAACGATATGGACACACACATACTGGGAGTGCTTCATGAGTGGGTCTTATAATATTGTGTGGGTAGTACAATGTTGTGTGGGCAGTCTTATCATATTTGTGCTCTGGCTTCCAACTAGCGACCAAAATTGTGTGCATGTGTGTCAATGTAGTAGGCTTCTACATCACTTCTCCATATCAATTTGCCCTTTGTTACTAGTAGCGTCCTTGTTACTAGTAGTATGGCCAGGAGTGCACCTAGTAGCGTCCTTGCTCCTAGTAGCGATGCCCTTTGCTCCTTGGTTTGTGAAGTGTTGACGCACGTCCCTTCAGTTCCGCACCGGCCGTAGCTTGGGGCAGTCACCCTCTGGAAGAGACGGGACTGGCAGGCCGGACTCGGAGATTTTGTTTTCGTGAATGAAATAAAAGCTACGGCCTCCAACCTACTTGCGATGGCCTCCTATACAAGTGATGAAACAATTGTTGCGTCAAATGATTGAAGTACGTTAAAGCGGAGGGAAGTGGAGATGCGGATAGTCCCATGATGTCCGTACAAGTTGATGAGATATTCCGGTTCAACCCATCCCCGACCCATCCCTTTCATTCTCTTTGAGACAACATGACAGAAACAAGTGCCACGCTAGTAGTACAGTAACAGGTGCCTTACTAGTAGTAACAAAAAGCTAATAGAAACAAGTGCCACGCTAGTGGGCTTTGAGCGAAGTTTGAGCGCAAAATCCATCACGCATCCTTTTGTATAAGAGCCGAGCTGCGGACAAGATCCCTCCAACCTACTAGCGATGGCCTCCAACCGAAAAGAATACAAACATACCATTATAGAAAAAATATGATAAATACTTTAAGGAACCTAATACCGATGTCCTCCAACCTAATACCTCCATATGAAAGTATTGCATGTCTTGGTGCCTTTGCTCCGGCTAATTATGCATGTTTGGAGATTGCAAGAGGGTAGTTCTGAGCGCCTTCGGGCTCCTCCTCCTTGCTGCCGAACAAGGAGAAGAAGCTGCTCCGGCATGGTACGCCTGGCTCTCAGGAACCAATGAAACCACTTTCCAATGGCTCTCAGTGCCTACAGCAAGAATCCCACAATATCCTGGGTTGGAGGCCATCGCTAGTAGGTTGGAGGTAATCTACATGGCTTTCAGCCTGAGCTCAGGGTCAGCATCACAGCATCAGCATGGGGCCTCGGTTCAATACACCGAGAATCTCCAACTGGGGAATAGAATCTCAACTTTCAACGTTGTCTCCAATTTTGGTACGTGAACCTGCCCTAGGTCTGACAGTAAGTGCTGCACCCCATGGATAGCCTGCAAAATCTCAGGTGGAGGTAGCTGCCAAAACTGTCCCAAAATACAAGAATTAGCGGTGCGGAAAGCTAGCGTTTGATTTTCCGACGGAACGATGTTCCTCTCTGGAGACTTCAGGTCACACCGCCCTAACGCCCTTGGACCGCATTTGGCCTTCGACGTTTCACATCAACTCATCTTGGGCCAAACGGCTTCGCAAACGGCTTCTCTCCTCGAAAGGATCCCAAACGGCCAAGCTGGCTCAGCCGCTACATCGAAGCTCACAAAATAGCATTCAAAACAAGATGGAACCCACGAACCCGAATGCACACACTCTTTTAAACATGTAACGAACTCGAAAACAAACGGCAAAACTTTGTTTGACACTCTTGTGGGACACTCTCGTGGGCACTCTTGTGGGACGCTCTGTAGAAAACTCTAGTGGGACACTGGACACTGGCAATGGCCTCCAACCTAAGAGCGATGGCCTCCAACCTCACAGCAATGGCCTCCAACCTACCAGCGATGGCCTCCAATCTACTAGCGATGGCCTCCAACCTACGAGCGATGGCCTCCAACCTCAGAGCAATGGCCTCCACCCTAAGAGCGATGGCCTCCAACCTCAGAGCAATGGCCTCCAACCTACGAGCGATGGCCTCCAACCTAAGAGCGATGGCCTCCAACCTACGAGCGATGGCCTCCAACCTCAGAGCAATGGCCTCCAACCTCACAGCAATGGCCTCCAACCTAAGAGCGATGGCCTCCAACCTAGTAGCGATGGCCTCCACCCTAGTAGCGATGGCCTCCAACCTCAGAGCAATGGTCTCCAACCTACGAGCGATGGCCTCCAACCCAAGAGCGATGGCCTCCAACCTACGAGCGATGGCCTCCAATCTCAGAGCAATGGCCTCCAACCTAAGAGCGATGGCCTCCAACCCAAGAGCGATGGCCTCCAACCTACGAGCGATGGCCTCCAACCTCAGAGCAATGGCCTCCAACCTCAGAGCAATGGCCTCCAACCTAAGAGCGATGGCCTCCAACATCCAGAGCTGCAAAAGCTCAGTCATCTCAAGACCTGAAGACTGATCTTCGCCAAAAGAATGTCTCGCAAATAAACATCCTTCAAGGCATCTTTGATCATTGTTCTTTGTCTTCGTCGTTGGCTGATTTGGGTGAGACTCTTTGAACAATTGCCACAAAGGAAATTGAGCTTCTCAAAGCTGGTTCTGGCTCAAATGGAAAATCATAGAGAGACGCCAGGATAGGCCAGGAATGAATTCAATACATGAGCGAGTGTTCATCTACGTTGAGTTTTGAGCCAACCCTTACCACAGTCAGTCGCTGGCGTCACCAGAATCACATGCATTGAACCACTGACAGAGTGTGGACACAGCTTTTGTCAAGCTCAGTGGAGTCTCTTTGCTTGAGAGTTGGTGCGGTTCATGGTGGCACTGGCTGTGTGGCTCACTTGACCATGAAGACTTGTGTGAGCGTTCCTCCGTAGCTTAGTACTGGCCTCGGCTTGTTCAGAAAGTTCTGTCGTGTACTGTCTCGGAGGTGCAACATGCTGTCGAGTTGCCTTCTTCCAGTTGTTGAAGGGCCTGCTTCCGAACATCGTCCACGTTTTCGGTTGGTCACGACAGTTGTCGACAAAGATCTAGAGGTCTGGGGGATTTCGGATGCTCCTAGTCTCATCCATCCCTATTGAGGCAAAACATGAGAGCTGTTCTCACAAAACGCAGTGCTACTTGAATCCTGCAATTTGGGCAACCAGTTCAATCCAATGTCGTTATATAGACAAAACCCATCCTGGTTCAATCCTTCATATTCATTGTTCAAGATGCCAAAGTTTGGGCTGCTCGGCCTCCAAGAGGTAAGCTTTGTCAATCCTCCCGCCACGGGCTTTTTCAAAGACTGCAACAGCCTCAGAACACCACACTGCTAAAACACACAAAGCAACTACCTTTGTTCCGACACACAAACGGAAGAAAATCGACATCTTCCACATAGCAAGAATGCACTGCATGCTGCATGCTTCATCATGCTTCCATTCCTTGGTTTGTGGCTGCTTCAGTGTCTAACCAATGAGGTCTGCAAATGTTCAATTGGAATAAAACTTGGAAATTGGAGTCCAATTCAACAATTGAAATGAACATCAATTGAATATGTCAACAGCTGAGACGTCAGTGGGCTGAGGACCCCAACATCCCGCCAATGAGGCGTGCTGCGTCGAGTCATCAAATAGGCGGCAATCAGGAAGCCGGTGCGATTTAACTTGGAGAGTCCGGTGTCGCCGGTGTCAGGGTTTTCAAGACTCCGGTGTCGCTTTTTCTCCTTTTCTTTTCAGACCATTCGATGGAATGTTAGTGTTGCATTCTCTTAGTCTCTTGCTCCGGTTTTTGGTCGTGCTAGGTTGCTCTCTCCCCTGTTTTTAGGAAGGTTCCCAGCAGTGGAGCAAACCAAGTGCCAAGACACCAAAAGGCTACATGCCAACACAAAAGAGGTGATCAAAACCTGGCCATCAAAGTCCAACAAAATCCACAACTAAAAGCAAGCCATCAGAAACCAAACCAACACAAAGCGACCGACAACCAAGAGCCAAAAACCACAACCGCCAAATGGACCGCCAAAAGCCACAGAAGCTGAAGTCAAAAACCGAAGCGACGGAATCCAAAAGACTCCACAAAAGCCACAAACGCACAGAAGCCCCGCCCTTCGTTTTTCCCTTTTCGTCCTTTCTGCTTGCGTGTACAAAAACCCTAAAACGGGCCCAAATAAAACTTTGGCAAAACAAGTCCGCAAAAAAGAAAAACATATTCATCCAACCCGTCTAAGCTTCCAGCGCCATGTGTGCAATGAATTGCAACATACAGGTCTGGCCTTAAATGCAATTGCGACATGCTGTCAATTCCTTCTATCATGCTGTCAAGGTTTGGCTTACATTCCAGCTGCCGTGAGTCAGGGCCAATGTCCCCAAGGACCAAACACTCCTGCCCAGCCTAGACTCATATAATTAGCCTATCATATAGCCCTTTATGTTGATAGACAATTCGTTTAGATTTCGACATCACAGTCACTGAGTCACATGCAATCACCCGCAATTGGAGTGGCCCGAACAATGTGCCAATGGATTCAAATTAACGCGTCTTTCTGGAGAAACTTTTTGCTCAAGTAGCGATGGAGAGGAATCAGGCAGCATTTGTGCCCGACACATCAGCTACACTCATCGCCAGGTGCATTGTAAAGCGCCAACATAGATGTGTGAACTTCAGAGCACTAAAATAGGGGCTACTAATTATTAGGAGCAAGGACGCTACTGAGATGTTTTTTAGCGCTTGGGGAATCACCCAGCGCCTTGTGGAAAATAGTCTGTCTCAGGACATCATGAACTGGTTGGGTGCTTGTCCCATCAACGCCTGCGCAATCCGACGCAGCATCCGCAATGAAAGGCCCGAATGACACCACATAACAGGACCCAACAGGACCGATTTGGAAAAACATGTTTCCTTTCAGTAGCTTTCTCATCTTGGAGGCCATCGCTGCTAGGGCGGAGGCCATCGCTGTTAGGGTGGAGGCCATCACTAGTAGTAGCGAGGACGCCATCGCTATTAGGGTGGAGGTCATCACTAGTAGTAGGGCGGAGGCCATCGCTATTAGGGTGGAGGTCATCACCAGTAGGGCTGAGGCCATCGCTATTAGGGTGGAGGTCATCACTAGTAGGGTGGAGGCCATCGCCACTAGGGTGAAGGTCATCGCTACTATCTGTTATTGTTTGGATTTAAGGCGCTGGGGTGTGCGTCTGTGCGTGTGTGTGTGTGTGTCATCATGCCACACCTGCAGCTTCGGTGGCAAAGCTTGAAGCACGGCCTGGCATTGGTTACTAAAAATAGGCAGCACATGTTTAGTCTTTTCATGTTGGAGGCCATCGCTATTGTTGAGTTGTTTCATGTGTTTCCCAAGTTGCACCTGGCTGGCACCGCGATACCCGCGACCCTGCATCTCATCAATTTCCACCTGGCACAAAAATTGCTAAAAACTGATATAGCTGGATGTAGCTGGCAGATCGTTGCCTTTTGTGAGGATTTCGAGAGCAACGTCAAAGCCTCTTTTAGGCAAGATCAAGCAGAAATTGATCCTTTTGGTGGCTGAGGTTGAAACTAATCTCGTGTTCTCAAGTTTGCGGCTGGAGACACCATGATGCAATGCAAAAGACCGTCCAAAACGGCACCTCAATAGTCAATACCTCGTTTCCGTCGCCATTTGCTTGCCCATCACCGCCTGTTGTTGGGCATACATGCAACCATTCAGGCACAGGAACGCCAAATCCGCCAGGATGTACAGCTCCTCAAAAGACAAGTTGACTAATCGACTTTGTTTGTTGCAAGTCTGAAAAGGGACTCCTAAAATGATCTTAAATAACCAGAAAACGTTGACTTCCTGGTTTTGCACGGGACAATCCCTCGGGTGAAATATCTGCGTTCGGAGCAGAATGGTTGACCCGGGTGCAAAGTTGCAAAGACCCGCCGGACCCGCCAGCCCCCACACTTGCTCCCGAACAGGAAGATCGATGTCTAAACAGGGCCCATCGATGTCCTGAGCATTCGGCTTGTCGCTTGTCGCTGCTCAGATCAGAACTGAACACACGCAAACAGTGGCCAAAGTGCAACGCTGCTCGTAACAAGTGCATCACTACCAGTAACAAGTGCATGGCTACCGTACTTCTAGTAACAAGTGCATCCCTACAGCACTACTAGTAACACGTGTATCGCTACAGCACTTTTAGTAACAAGTGCATCGCTACAGAACTACTAGTAACAAGTTCACCTCTACTAGTAATAAGTGCATCGCTGCAGTACTAGTAACAAGATGTAACAAGTGCATCGCTACTAGTAACAGGTGCATCGCTACTAGTAGCAAAAAGCTACTAGTAGGTATTTGCTACTAGTAGTATTGCACTTGTCTCTAGTAGCGATGCACCTTGCTACTAGTAGCAAGAAGCCTTAGAACCTGGAGCCGCCACACAGTTTGACTCAAGATGGGGCTCCATTGCAAACTAGCACAAGACATTCCACACGATCTGAACAACATGTGTGAAAGCATGTGCCAGAATATGTTCCTTTATTTTAACTACTTTCAACATATTTTCAGTGTTTTACAAGTTACTTTGGTTTGGATTGTGTGATGCATTTCAACTTCCACAGCCATATTCACTACGCTCCCTCGTTTTAAAGTTTTCACAAGTGCATGAGTAGCTGCCATAGAGAGAGATTTCGTGGTTGGGCTGCCCTCACAAAAGCAAAGCAGAAAACAGCAGGAAACAAGAAAATTCCCCGATTTCACCCCCAAACTGCCCAAACTTGACAAAAGCAACACTACAGGTCAGTAAGAGAGATTGCATCGAGCTACCTACAGGCGGTTCCAACACATGTAATTGGAATGTTGCTATGCGTCTGCCCAATTGAGTTGCTTTGTGGGGTTACTTGCCGTTGGATGGCAAAGCTGAGTTAATTGAAGGGCGAAAACATGTTGCTCATCAGCGTCTGCAACTAATCGTACTAGTAGCCTAGTACTAGTAACAAGTGCATCGCTACTAGTAACAGGTGCATCGCTACTAGGAGCAAAGAAGCTACTAGGGGCTCCTGGCCGTACTACTAGGAGCAAGGGCATCGCTACTAGGAGCATCAACCTCTTGGCCTTTTGGATGCACTCGATCGATCCCGCCCTGAGTCTTGGACAACTTGGAAGCAATCTCGGCAGCAACCTTTCCTCGGAACGGAGTAGGGAATAAAGCAAAATAGAAAGGAAAAGGATACATCGTTAAATTCTTTCTTTAGTCCAATCTTTTGTGGTTGAGTAGCGCAGATCCACTTTGGAACTTGTGCACACCACTGGGATACAGATGAATTGTACGCCAGACTTGGTATTGTCAAGCCACAAGTACAGCTCCATGTCCTCAGACTGAGATACCTCTCTCATCTTGTTGGAGCAGCTGACGATGCCATGTGGGCCCTGCTACAACAGTCTCCCACCTGGTGGCAATCACTTGAAAAAGCCATTGAGTGGCTCCAACTCCAAAAGCGGCATCGTCTGCCCTTTGGACCACTTTTACAGGATTGGGAGCAATGGAAGCAGTATGTCGCTGATTCGCCCAATCGCTGGAAATCACACATCACCAAGGCTGCCCGACATGCTATCAAGCAATGTCAGCTGCAGCATGAATGGAATGCTTGGCATAGCGAGGTTGTTTCAACTTTTGTACAACTTGGCGGTGCGAGCCTTCCTGCTCATCCTGACCAACAACGATTCGAACATTTTTGTATTTGCTGTTCTAAGCTGTTTGCTTCCAAAGCAGCGTGGAGTGTTCATGCTTTCCGTGCACATGGCAGAGTGACGGTTGCGAGACTTTTCGCATCAGGCACTCAATGTGCCGCATGTCTCCGGACTTATGGTACATATACTGCCCTAGTCAACCATATCACGCACAGTGTTTCATGCCAGGATCTTCTGCGAAGTAAACATTTGAGGGTAGCCCTTGAACCCGGCATCAACAGCCGGGTCGAGCATCGTACGCGGCCCTCACTCTTGGCACCACCGCTGCAGGCAGAGGGACCGCCTTTGCCATTTGGTAATGAGACACCGATGATCTGCTTGACTGAGGCCCACACTGCACTTTGGGAGGCATGGGATGTAGCGACGTGTCAGCACAATGTGCATATCCATGTTGAAAATACAGTTGAAGCGCTCAGACAGGCGACTTTAACCACCACACTACATGTGCAAGAAGTTGTAGCATTGCTTTTGCATTGGGGCGAAGAGAAATCTGCGAATACACCTGGACAGAATTGGCCTGAAGTTGTGGCAAGCTACAGTAGCCAAGCATGTGCAGAATGGTTCCTCCAGACCCCTGATGGACAAAGTCCTACAAAGGATGATCCTCACGCTGTGCTTCTTGCGTGGATGGCTCAACCACTTCTGCATCATGCGCAAGTGCCTCTGCCTCTCCGATACCGCCCAGTAATGGTGGCTCATTTCTTTTCTGGTCATAGACGACCTAACGACCTCCAGGATATGCTAGAACGGTTATCACTGGGACGCCATGAATCATGGATTCTCAGCATCGACATTGTTTTCAGCGAATCCAAAGGCAATCTTGCCGACCCAGAAATCTTCTTGAAGATCAAATCTGCATTTGCCCATGGCCTGCTTATTGCAGCATGGGCAGGCCCACCATGCGAGACGTGGAGCAGAGCCAGACTTCATGGTGCCGAGGATGGCGGCCCACAGATAGTTCGAACAGAACAGGAGTTACAGGGTCTGCAGACGCTCACCCTTCGAGAAGTAGAGCAGGTGCTCATCGGCAACTGCCTTCTGGGCGTGACAATACGTTTGGCAGTCGTCGCATACTTCTATGGCACATTCTTTGGCATTGAGCACCCAAAGGAACCAAAGGAAGCCAATGCGGCGAGCATTTGGAAGCTGTCGGTGATTCGTTTCCTACTCTCCTGCAATGCTGTTAACTGCCATCATATTTACCAGGGAAGATACGGGGCCCCGTCCCCAAAACCAACCACCTTCCTGCTCGTCCATGAGCCAGCCAACACTACACAGCTTTGGCAGAGATTCTGTACCAGTGCCTCTCTTCCTACCACCTGCTCTATTGGCAAATCTGCCGATAACAGTTGGCAGACGGCAAAACTCAAAATCTACCCGCCAGCGTTGTGTGAGGCCATTGCCAGCGTGATTGGATCTTACGTTCATCACCGACAGAGTAAGCCAGTGTTGGAGGAACCAGACAAGAGTTGGGAAGAGTTCTTTCAGGATTTCCGGGTTCCCATTGCAACAGGCAAAATGGGACCGGATTTCCACCCTATTAATTCAGTGCATGCCAGTGAAGCCACTGGGCGACCATTCGGCTCTAGCAAAGTGCAAAAAAGTGCTTTGGGGCTTGGCAACCAGACTTAGAGGATGGATACTACCTGCTCGTCTTTGAATTCCCGGTTCAAACAGCAGGATCGAACTGAACCGGTCTGAAACTTGTTCAACACTTCGTTGTGTGGGGACCAAATTGCATAATTACTTGCTTGCATGTGTAATGAAACTTGACACCACTTATATATATTTACCTTGAACAGTCTCACCAATCCTTTTGTGTCCCTAGAACAAATGCACAGAATGGCCTTTCACCGAGCCAGCTATCCGGAAGATTCCAAGATCTATGCCGGTTCTTCTTAGGTGCAGAAGGAATCTAAAGTCTGCACCTGATGCTGGGAAATCTTTCCAGGCTGGCGTCATCTCCATGAAGCAAGCAGCATAGTTGGCGCACATACCCTGGGTTCAAGTTAAACAGACAAAACAAGTTGGTTTGTCAAACATAACTACTGTAAACAATGACAATGTTCTATCTCATACCCCGTATTCAAGCCACTTCAAATTGAACTGGCAAGTCAAAGATCTTATTGACTTGGGTTCCACATAAGGAGGAATGAAGATGAATGAAATTTGAGCCTTTACAAAACACAAAAGAACAAACATGAACAGATTGGCACAGAAGCTGTGAGAAACTCTGCCGCGTTGCCAAATGCACCAAACTGGAATCATCTTGGGCTCAACAAGTTCTTTTCTTTTGGCTCAGCCGCGTTTCACTAGGAGCAAGGACGCTACTAGGGGCTCCTGGCATCGCTACTAGGAGCACAGAAGCTACTAGGGGCTCCTGGCCGTACTACTAGGAGCAATGTTCGCTACTAGGAAACACATGAATAGTGCGAGCGCGTCTTCACGGAAGCGTGAGCTATCCTGCGGCCAGTAGGTAGTAGCTTAAGTAGCTAACTCCCTGACTTAATTAAGTAGGTGCCTACTTAATTGAGTAGGAGTGGACAAACATGTTCATGTTTCTTGCGGTCTGACAACTGAGGTTCGTGACGATCCACGCTGTAGATGCCATCAACGCATTGTCCGTCTGTGTGTTCATGAGCCCGAATCGCGACCTGCGGGCGACAATAAACCCGCCTTCATGTATCTTGCTTATGGCCTTATGGCAACATTTGTGCGGCTTGGAGAAGTTCCTTAAATCTACTGTGACAGGATTGACAGTTTCACTCTGCTGGTGACTCTATCAGTCTACCACTGTATGTCTTATATTGCTGTCCTGGGATTTTCGGAGTTTGGTACGTAGCAACTACCGAAGAAACAGAGCGTGAGTGCACACAAAGCACACGGGTTCGTTACATGGACTCGTCTACTTTCTTGTTTTTGTACTTGTCATCTGTGGATGGCAGAAGAGGCAGAAGACACGAGCTGTAAAGGAAGAGGCACATCTGCTTTCTTTGCATCCTTCCTCTGGTCGGCCTTTGCTCTGTTTCATAATATCTGCTCGACGATTCCTCTGCTCTCGTCCTAACTGGAGGCATTTGCTCCTTTTTACTCACTGCAGGTAAAGTGCTAAGGTTTGTGTTTTGAACGCGCTAAATCTTCAAAGGAAACTGTTGGACTGCATGCGGAACCAAATCTCCATTTCAGCAAATCTATATATGTCTCCCTTTCATATGCCTGTCTGTCTGTGGCCTGATTCCTGAATTCAGCAACTTATTGACTGTAGAAGCTGTGTTGTACAAGACGGCCCAATGTTGGCCTGGCACCACCTTACACGCGAAGCACTTGAGGAGCTGGCTGCACAAAGAAGCGATTGGCACTCAAAGCCATCTGTGGGCACAAAAGCACCTGGACATATTTAAAAAAACAAAGAAAACTAAATGCACGTTCCCACAAGAAAAGCGTCACGAGACTTGACGGAAAAATGGGCCTGACCTGGCCAGTATCGAAACTTCGAGATCAAAATGGGTTCTGAGACAAAACTAGTCAGTGTAAGTGTAGTTGCGTGTAAAACAGTCTGTCACCCGTCCGCCTCACAACAAAGGCCCGGCACTTCAGGTTGAGGCTCGCCCAACGGTCCAAACTGGATGCAAATATAAAAGAAAAGTAACCACCTGTGACTCAGCGCTTGAACTTGACTTTGTAATCAAATACATCCTTTACAACCAAGTCTCAAGTTGGTGTACTGACACGCCTTTAGAAAATTACTGGGAAACTAAGGAGTAAATGACAACACTGATGCATAATGTGTTCTCATAACAAATACGTTTCTCGGGCAAGGAGTGTTCAAGAAATTTGTCAACATGCGTTTACAATAAAGTGATACTGAAACTGCCATTGCGCTCTATTGTGCTCTGAGTGCAAGCTTAAACAAGATCGTTCACACCTGGCAAAGGCCAGCACCTCAGCAAAACAGCTGAACGACTGTAGCTTCATGTTCACAAAAAATCCGGTACAGCACCCAACATCTCCAAGTTGCAAAATACTCACGCTGAAAAAAAACAATATATTCACTTGCACAAAACAAGTCTACACCATTGACATCGATGTCCCGGGTGCACTTTAAAGAAATTGCCAATTTGAGCACAAAGGAGCATCAAGAGCAGAATTGCCAATTTATGTACACTAGGGAGTCGCTTGCCTGCTTTGTGAGTCGCTTGGAGCCTGACAGCAAACATAGGGCTCGCCCGTCATCATCAACCTTTGCTTTCGGGAGCCGAGGATTTGGCCAGTTTAGCGCCTTTTGGACAACATGACAACATATTTCAAAAGAGGCCGGGATGCCCGGCAACTCATGGCGTTGCTTCACCGCGGCAAGCTGGCCCAACAAGCAGAGATTTGGATTCGGTAGCCTTCGACCTTAGCCTTACGGCCTTACATGAATGCTTCACAACCTTTCCTGAAATGACAGCAAATCATGGTTCGCCAGTCGAACTCCTCCGGTGTCCGCCGGTTCAGCCAGGCCGACACAGCAGCAAACACCGCCAAAAAGGCAATCGAAAGGACCTTATAAGCTGCAACCAGGCAGATGCCAAGCAATTGCTTCAAGAGCAACGATCAGTGGTTGGAACATGCAATATTCTAATACCAAAGAAGATCAATGAAGCATCAAGAAAGTGCTAGGCGCCAGACGTTTCATGGGGGTCTCATAGAGATCTACTTGCCACTCCCTGGAGGTCAGTGTCCAGCTTGCCAGCTGGTTGACTTACGAAGAACAAATGCAAGCGAAGCGTTGACAAATGCCGACTACGATTGTACGGTAAAAAAACGTAAAATCCGACAACTTGTACGTAGAGGCATCAAGACCAGCCAAAGTAGAAATCTATACCGATACGGTTCGAAACCAAAGTAGATATTGCATGATATTGCCAAATGGGGCTCGAAGTACTGCCCACCTGTTGAGGTAGGGAGCAATGTCAGCCTTCATCGACTGCATTTCCTCGGCAAAAACTGAGAGGCTTTGGAAGTTTGAGAGTTCAAACTGAGAGACTTAGACCAACTAGCGATGGCCTCCAACAGAATGCCGTGGCCTCCAACCTAAGAAGCGATGGCCTGCAACCTAAGAGCGATGGCCTCCAACCATCCTTGAAATTCAGTTCTGGAAGTTTGAGAGTTCAACCTGAGAGACTTGAGTTCATCCTGGATCTTTCTCAACCAGGCCAGACTGTTATTCTGCCATCAAGATGCATTGGAAGCGTAGGCCATCGCTTGGCCAGGGGGCAAGGCCACTATGCAAAGACCTTGAAAAGAACCTTGAAGCTTCTTGTTACTAGTAGCAAGAATGCTCCTAGTAGTACGGCCAGGAGCCCCTAGTAGCGTTCTTGCTCCTAGTAGCGATGCCCTTTGCTCCGTTTGTAGCGTCCTCTGAAGTTTGAGATCGGTCAGAGTCGTATGACGAGTTTGGCATCGTACGACGATTATGCATCGCATAATCCCTGTTTGCTTGCACATCATCGAGGTCTGTCGACTGATACTGTAGAGGATATTGGCTTCTCGTTGTAGCTCCGATGCTACTCAAGGACATCATCCAAGAATTCTCCTGTTACTGATTGCAAGCTCACACCTCAACCATTGTGTAGAATTCTTTGCCAAATGGACAGCTCTATGTGTGCTCACCTGATTACCATTGAGCAATGCGCTGCGGCAATGTTGGATACACAAATATGATGATTAGCTCCTCCTGGATTGCCAAGCTGTTTCTTTGTACGAAATTGGTTTGTGGAGTCAAAGAAGCAATGCGAATAGAATATATGAATCCTGGCAATTCTGATTCTCGGTGAGATACCAACAGTCAGGATTCTGATTGGAAAGTAATTCTTTCTCAAAGCTTGCAGCTTTCGTTCACTGAACTCATCGATGATGTCGAAGACCTCTCCGCACAAAAGCGCCACCAAGCGGCACAAAGCGGGTCGGTCGGTTCTGCTTTGGTCGGTGGTCGAGGTCTAAGAGGTCGCCAAGTCGGAGGTATGCACATTTACGTTCCTGATGAAAGCTCAATACCTCCTAGTAGCTTCTTGTTCCTAGTAAGGCCAGGAGCTACTAGTAGCGTCCTTGCTCCTTGTAGCGATTCCCTTTGTTCCGTTTGTTCCGTTTGTAGCTTCACGTTCCTGATGAAAGTGCCTAAGCTTAAGCATGCACGAGAGTTCACTGCTCACAGTTCACTGCTCACGTAGTATCATGAGAAAGGTCCTGGAACCACTGCTCACCGTGCAGGCTTCGATTCGAACAGGGCATGGCTCAAAGAGGTCAGAAGTCTCAAAACACAAAGATTTGGAGGCATCTCCAAAACCTCAAGCGAGCATAAAGGTGAGCACCCCTCTGCTTGTTTCTTTCTTCAGACCTTTAGACCATTTTAGACATGTCTTTATCGTGTCTCGTCTTCGTTCTTTCTCTTTTCCTTCCTTTGTTGTTTTCTTCCTTCATTCTGTTCTTGTCTTTGTGTCCTTACCTAGATTCAAGAGAAAGAAACATGATAAACATGTCTTGTGGGCAGTATCATCTTATCTAAGACCTGATGCGTTCTTGTTTCAATTTACTTGACTTAGAATCAGTAGTGATGCCAATACTCCTATTTAATCAAGCCTAGTAGTATGCAAGGGATGACCCTCATTAGAATATACTAGAATGGAGTAGTCAACCGAAAGGCCCATGCCTTACCAAACGGGCCTTGCTAGCATTCTTGCATCAGCCAAAACCAAAGATCTCACCAGCACCCGACATCCCTTTGAGCTCCTCTTCAAGGGTGTCCCGCTCTGGCACACAACGGCCCGGGATCTTAACCTCAGCATGTGGTTTCGTTAGACTTAAATCGGAAAAGTCAATAAGTGTCTCCTTTTGAATGCAATTATAAAATTATATAGATGAATTACATGTGAATCTGTTCGTGCAATGATTTCTATTTTGTGTATACTACGTACCTTGTGCTTAATGTATTCATCGATCCTGCTGGAGTCTTCCCTAAGCCACACTGAAGTCATTTCTTCGCGTTGTACCATGCCTTGTGGTACTCCACTCCATCGCAGCTTTGGAAGCCACTGTAGTACCTAAAGAACCATCCTTGCTGGAGAGAGTGCAATTGGTTCAGCCGCAATTTTCTGGGAGTCAATTGCACACAGGTGTCTTCACACCTCTTTACAATCTCAGCTTTCTAAGCTGGTTGCTTCCACCTGTCACTTGCCGCTTTCTCCCTGCACACACTCCATTTTTTCGGCGTTCTTGCCGCTTGACTTGCGCGTTTGCCTGTCCTCCCCAACACCAAGGCCTGCAAAGTGAGAGCAAAAGTTTGGTCTTGAAGATCAAGTGGTCACGCGAAAGCTGCCATCATATGCCATCATCATGCCAAGTTGGTTGAAAGAATTATGTCATGCACAAAATCACAAACCTATCACAAGAAATCCCTCCCTATCGGCCTTGAGGGCTGCCTCACCCATCTTCAACCTAACAGCGATGCCCTTTGTTACTAGTAGCGTCTTGTTCCTAGTAGTACGGCCAGGAGCCCCTAGCAGCATCCTTTCTCCTACTAGCGATGCCAGGAGCCCCTAGTTCACTCCTCTTGTAATTTGGCTTGAAGCAATATGCTGCTGTGCCCTTCTCTGCCATTGGCACCGCCCTATGCAAACAAACCAACACACCCGCGACACCTCCTCCACCTCTTCCACGGGAGCTTCAGCTTCTTCCTCCAGTGCATCAGCATCTGCACCTCCACCCTGCACAAATCCCATTGGGCTTCAAGTCGTGTGGAGCCAAAAACATACAATAGACATCAACGAACCGTTTAATAAACCATGCAATCCCGTTTAATAAACCTTGGCATTAACTATTGTGTCCAAAGGGAGCAAACGAGAATGGTACAGCCTCCTCAAGCACGTCTAAGTGATCTAAGTGCTCGGTCTCCATCTCCTGGCACCGCTTGAGATGTGATACTGCAAGGCAAAGTTCTCTTTCAGCCCCTAGTAGCGTCCTTGCTCCTAGTAGTAAGACCAGGAGCCCCTAGTAGCTTCCTTGCTCCTAGTAGTAAGACCAGGAGCCCCTAGCTGCTTTCCCAGAAAGCATTCTGTCTTGAGTGCATTGTGTTCTTTGCTATTGTTGTACTTGTTCTTTGCTTTTCGTTTGCTTTTTTTCAACACCTTTTGAACTTCACACCATTATTGCCTTTTTGTCGTGTTCGAACCAGCACGTGATATGTCTAAACATGTCCATACTGCCCAGACTTCATCTGTGGCCTCTAGTGCTTCCAAGTCTTCTTCTCCTTGGACTTCCTGCCACAAGCATCTAGGGAAGGTAGTAGCACAGTTATATAATAGCCTCCAACCTAAGAGCATGCCTCCAACCATAGCAATGGGAAGGTAGTAATACATTCACTTGCTACAACAATCGTAAATGGTGTAAAACCGGGTATTTCTCAGCCATAGGCCATAGACTTTAAGACCGATTTTGGCTTGGAGGATTCTCAAATGTTCTAAAAGTATTGACCCGTCTCATCTCAAAGCATTCCAAAAGTGACTGAACCCACTCAACCCACTCACCCTCAATCAGTGTCTCTGTAATTGAAAATTCGGTCGGCCAAACCCGCCTCATGAGGAGAAGGTGCGATGCTTGGGCTTCCTGGAACAATAGTAGCGTCCTTTGCTCCTAGTAGCGATGCCAGGAGCCCCTAGTAGCTTCTTGTTCCTAGTAGTAAGGCCAGGAGCCCCTCGTAGCGTCCTTGCTCCTATAAAATCCCTGCAAAACCCTCAAATATCTTCGGATCAGACTGAGTTCTGTCACTCGAACAATGTGAGAATGGCGCTAGTCTTTTTGAAGATTCGTCGTCATTTTTTCAACATGGGCTGCCCGGCTGCCATAAGTCAAAAGGAAATCCTTCCCTCAGATCAAGTCTGCACACGCATCAATGATTCCTTGCCTGCATCGTCATCCGTTTGCTCACTATGTTCATCTTTGTCTGGTGTTGGCTCAGCGGCGCCTGCGCTGGAAGAAAACATGGTGGCATGCTCCGGCGGAAGTGCCAAAATTTCTAGCATGCATCATTCCGCAAACACACCAGCCTTTTATGGCTGTCGAGAAGCAACACAGTGCAATACTTCGGTCCAAAACTGGACTACGATCCCTGCCTGGCACGACGAAGACTTCGGGTGAGCTTTCCTGGAAACATGCCGTGCTGGTTCGCTGGGTTGACGGCCGTCGCTAGTAGGTTGGAGGGAGAGGGCTTTCAAAAAGAATCTTAGGAAACCTTCTGCGCTCTTGTGGAAACCGTGGGAAGCAAAACGTTGAAAGCAGTCCACACTTCATCCAGATTTTGGGTCAGGTATGAGGCCTGGGAAAGTGTGCTTGTGCTAAGGGGACTTCACCAATGCTAATTTTACAACTGAGGTCTTCGCACGGCATAGACTTGGCGATCAACAGATTGATGGGAGTCACTCCGGTTTGCGCCTCATGTTCGTCTTCAGCCTCCATGTCCGAATCCGGTGAAGGTGGTGCTGGCACCTGCCACGAATTTGAGGTTACCAAGTAGAAAAAACAGGTTCAAGCTGATACGCAACCTGGAAGTGTTCATAAAGGGCTCAGGACAGATGACAATAGAACTCTGTGACATTCTAGCTGACCTTGGCCGTCACTGTCCATTCTCCGTCTTGACTGAAGAGGATTTCGTCATCATCTTCCTGGAGGGAGACGGCTTCCTTCAGCCTATCTGGACCACTAAAGGTTGGAAGGGGTTCGTTTACGAACAAGTCTTTCTGTCCTCGGTCTTCTTTAAGATGTGAAGCATGTACATGTCCTTGGGAAAGAGTGGTAATCCAAATCAGAGAATCAAAATCTCTAAGTGCTATAGCGGTGGTCTCCAACCTAAGAGCGTCCTTGCTCCTAGTAGCGATGCCCTTTGTTCCTAGTAGCGTCCTTGCTCCTAGTAGTAAGGCCAGGAGCCCCTAGTAGCGTCCTTGCTCCTAATAGCGATGGCCTCCAACCACTTTGAGATCCTTTGGGTGCAACGTCTCCAATCACAAGCTTCACCGAAAGACACTTTCGAAGTGAACCTTCGGAACGTGCGTATCTTCGATCGAAACTAACACAAACGGGCCCAGCTGGGCTTTCCGGACCTCGGGAAGACATTCCGAGTGAACCACTTACGAGTACAAGACCGTTCAAGGAAAATAGAACTGGCAAGGCTGCAAGAGTAAAAAGTGCAAAAAGAACATTGAACTGTTTTCGAAACGATAAAAAACCAAATAGAAACAGAATGTAATCGAAACATGTTGCCGGTTTCAGTGGATAGAGCCAAGCTGCAACAAACATGTCTGCAGGCTTCGCCATGATGGCGCACACGGGGCAGGTCCTGGACAAAATGCATCACTTCTTGCTGCTGGTAGCGATGCCAGGAGCTACTAGTAGCATCCTTGCTCCTAGTAGCGATGCCCTAGGCTTTCTTTTCTTCCGTGTATCGGTGTAGAAGTGCATCTAGCACGAAGTGTCCAAGTCTGAAGCTTGTGTAGCACCAACTGAGGCACATACCACCTCTTGTTGAAGGCCGCAATTGATCGATTAATCTCAAGATATGCCTGGCAGCTGATGCAGAGGCGTCAACCTTCGTCTGGATCTTTACAACCGATTCAGGAAACTTACCGGTACGTTTCCACCGGCATACCAAGCAAGAAGGCAGTTAGAAATGCGAGTAGCAATGCAGGCCAGCTACTTCAATTGCTACACTACGGATGCCAATGGCTTGTGGCAGCTTCAACAGTCGAGGAGACGGACAAAACCAACTTTGTCCGCCACCAGCAACAAACATGCTTCCAAGTTCCTCCGCATGAGAAAGCACAGACACTAGACTAGCCGAAGATGGTTGAAGGTCTGGTCCTTTCTAGAAAAGGGCCTATGTCGCCATCAAAGAAAACTAACAAAACCGAAAAGAACTGAGAAGAAAAAAATACATAGAGAGAAAGAGGGACGTTGAGCAACAAACAGAGTGACACAATGACTATCTGACTATCAACCGTCACTTTGCTCATGTAAAATGTCACTCGAAAGACTCCCGGACGAGGTCACTGGGCACACCTCCCGCCTTCAAGTCAAAGCACTGGAGGTGGGCGCACTTCTCTCCCCGCACAGGCGTGTGTATTCGCTGATGTGTCAGAGGACCTCAGTTCAAGAGTTGGCAATGGCCTCCAGAAGCGATGGCCTCCAACCTAAGAAATTAAGAAAATAACGCCAAAACACTGTATAGTATACTGTGTACTTTAAACAGAAAGGGGCGCTATGCGGGTGTGTGTTTTGCGGTGGTAATAAAAACACATGTTTTGTTGTTTTTTTTAACTTTACCTTTCATGGAACGATTACTTCAGTAACGCCCTGCTGACATGTAAGATGAATTGAATAAATGTGTTTGTTTCATAGAAAACATGTTTTATATATTAAAGTTCTATGCGGATGTCAGTTTTCTGCAGGTAATAATAAATATATGTTTCTAATATGTGTTTCGAATTGCTTCTCTCTCCGGTCCGTTAGCTAGACTCATGGTTTGTAGACAGAGTTGATTCTTTGCCAACTCCTTGGGTGTGTAGAAGAGGCCTCTCCATTTTGCCTTTGGTGAAAAATCATTCCATGCTTTTGCTTCAGTGTCGCATTGACACACCTCATGCATGGATACTTTGCTCCATAGTGTGGAAGTCCATATTCAACTGAATTGTGCTGGCAATCTGCTGGCATGCCATTATGATGAACCTCATTGCATTTTTGCAGATTGACTTGGGCAGCAAGTCCTTCCCTTTCAGGCGACAGTGCCTTCCCTTCCTGATCTGTTTCCTTAAGCTTCAAATCTGAGATCTTCTTCTTGGCCAATATCACTCAGTTGGGGATGGAACACAATAGAAAGCTTGACTCTTCCAGGCCAAGCTTCTTTTCTGCAGCAATCATGCTGTACATTGTCACTTGTCACTGTGTGAAGGCTGTCAGCCTTTGTAATGGTTTAGCTTCGAGAACGTGATCTATTTCATTCAAATGCTCTCCTTTGGCTTGCCTGTGTATGTCTTCACACGTGGGCATCCAGATC